TCCTAAACCCCATACAAAGAGGAGGAATCTGCAGATCTCTCTGTAGCTCCTGCTGGGCCCCAGGCTGACCTTGCACCTCCCTGGAGACCCAAGAGTCAGTGTACCCAGTCGTCAGTGTCATGGCATAACAGATTACAACTCCTCACATCCATAAGTGACACACTCAAGGGGCAGACTCAGTGAGCACCAAAGCCCCACTGAAGCAAGTCCTGCTCCACAGGAGTGTCTCCTGCATAACAGCTCTCGCATTGCGGTCAAAACTGATCCTCACAGACAATTGGTCTGGAGGTCAATTCTCCCAGTGACACCCACAGCAATCAAGTCTCAACTACAAGGAGACTGTGCTCACAGCCCAAAAAGGAGTGCACCCAGAGCTCCCAGCTCAGATGACTGGGGAGGCTGAGCCACTGGCGCTATAGGATTCCCACCTCACAAGGCCACTCTAACAACACAAGGAGACACAGTAGCTCTACCCAAGACATGGAAACAAACGCAGGGAAGCAGCCAAAATGCTGAGACAAAGAAGTATGTCACAAATGAAAGAAATGGAAGAAAGCAAACTACTGGATATAGAGTTCAAAACCATGATTATAAGGTTACTCAAAAATCTTCTAGAAACCTCCAAGGGACTTAGTGAGACTTTCAAAGATCTTAATGAGAATGCCAAAAAAATTAAAAAGGATTAGCCCAAGTTTCACAGGGGCAGGAACCTGTTAGGTTTCTATGGATGTCATAACAAATGATCACAAACTCAGTGGCTTAAAAGAACACCAATGTACTGTTGTACATTTCTGTGTGTTAGAAGTCCAACAAGGGTCTCACTCCATAGGGCTGCATTCCTTTCTCGGAGCTCTAGGAATGTCTTTTCCTAGTTCGGGAGCCTGCCTCCATTCCTTGGCTTATGGCCCTTCCCTCCACCTTCAGTGGCAGCCCTGATTCTGAATACCTCTTCTCCTTCTCAAGGCCTTTGTTTTTACTACACTGGGTCCCCCTCCCCTTCCCCCAGATAACCCAGAATAACCTCCCTGATTAGTAATCCTTAATTCCCATTAAACTCTCCTCTTTTGCAATTACCCACTATAGTCACAGGTTCTGGGGGAGAAAGGGGGAGTGCATTATTCTTCCTATCATAATCTCTAAGGGAGAGCCCCTCTGAATTATATAACATTAACCTTTGGGTGTAAATAATACACTGCAACTCATACATACCTTATTCATTTTCTCCCAATGATTCAAAAACAGAGGAGGTGTGTGAGGGTTTGTTTTTGTTGGGGTTTTTTTTTTTTTTTTTGACAACTTTAGAACCTGCAAAGCAAACGTGTTCAATGTTATTGAACAAGAACAGAGACAACACTATGACAGTAAGAGCTATGTGTCCTTTTTACACTAAGTGGTGAAAATTGATTATCACTGATGTCAGGCTTTCTTACCGTTCCAGGAAAAATAGGTATCGAAATGGAATATCCATGTCAACAAGCCACATAAGGCTGTCTTCGCACACCCCTGGAACCTAGCATACCATGTTATCCTTTTGCATCTGAAAATTGCTATGTTTCCAAAGGGAGAAAAAAATATCTGTTGTATCAGCAATAAGTACCTCAGAGTGATGGCTTAGAAAGTGAAGCTTTGAATAGTGTGGGTGAGATCGGAAAGCACAGACATTGTGGAATGAATTTTTCTCTGAATAGGTTCATCTACCATCTACACAGCATATTTGTTATTATATCAAACTTAAGTTAAATTCCACTACATATAAAAATACTTGGTTGCTTAACTTATTAGAAAAAAATTATATGGGATGTCACACACACACCCCAAGAATATTTTAAAGAAAAAAAAATTGTTCAAGTTCTGTGTAAGTGCACTGTCTGGATCAGTAGATGGAGCCAGAAAGGTCACAAATAATTGGACGTGGCTAGGAAGGCGCTGAGCATGCTAAAGCCCGTTGGTCCCATATGAAGAGGCCAGGCACCAGACACCACTGATGGCTGTCACATAGGTCCTCTGATAGTCCCATAATTAAGAAAATGATATTTTGCCAAAACTGGTTTGGCTCAATGGATAGAGCGTCGACTTGGGGACTGAAAGGTCCCGGGTTCGATTCCGGTCAAGGGCATGTACCTTGGTTGCGGGCATATCCCCGGTAGGGGGTGTGCAAGAGGCAGCTGATGGAAGACTGTCTCTCATCGATTTTTCTAACTCTATCTCTCTCCCTTCCTCTCTGTAAAAAATCAATAAAATATATTAAATTAAAAAAAAGTGGGATCGTTTAAGTTTTCCATGTTGGCAACTAAATAATATACTGCAGCCCAAAGACAGCCCAATGAAACATAGGAAAGGACCAAGCTTAACTCATCAGCCAGCAGTCTGCACCTTCAGATCTAGATCAGCCACTCCTTGATATCTGCCTGATATTTCACTTGACAAATTGACCGACTAGTGTAACTTGTTATCCTAAACTGTCTAATTGGATGCAGACATTATCAAAGCCTAGAGAGGGGAAAAAATGTGTATACACAGATGAGATCAAGAGTCCTAGCAACTGAGGGGTTGGTTCTTTGTTTGTTGCGGGAACAGATGATGTCTTATTTTCTGTTGTGGCCCCAGCATATAAATAATGTCTGTCACATGGTGGGCTCGAAGTAAATGTTTGTTGAATTCATGAATGACTAAACTTTAAGGGAAATCTTGGTAACTCTGAGGGATTTATTTCTACTTGTTAATGTAGAGAAGTAGTGGTCTAGACTTAGAAAGTAAAAACCCTCTGCTCTGCCAGTGTAGCTCAGTTGGTGGGTCATCATCCCAGACACCAAAAGATTGCTGGTTCGATTCTTGGTCAGGGCACATGTCCAGGTTGTGGGCTCGATTCCCCGTGGGGAGTGAGGCATGTAGAGGGCATGCAGGAGGTAGACAATCAATGTTCTACTCTCATATCAATGGTTCTCTCTTTCTTTAAACAATCAATAAAATTATGAAAGAAAAAAGTGAAAACCCTTCAGATTTTTCCATATTATCCAATATACATATATTTATTCTAACAATTATTATATATTCCAACAATTTTGTTGTTGCAATTACCAATGAGGCCTTTTATAATGGGGCAAAAGGAATTGAACTGAAAACAGTACTGTAACAACCACCCAAACCAAGTATTTGGCATGCAATCATTTTCATGTTACAAAGTCCTTTCAATATGTGATTTCTCTTATCACCAGATCATCTCTCTAAGGCAGGCAGGTATAATTCCACTTTAGAGAACTTGAACTACCAGGGAAGTTAACTGATTTTTACAAAGCCTTACACAAAATTAGCCACGGGGCTGCACTTCATCTCTGGCTCAGACCAGGATGGCTCTCTCCTAACAGGAAAGCAACGCGGAGGTGCATTGAATTAATATAACATGCACAATGGCACCTTCATAAGCAGGAAGGGTAGGGAAGGCCGGCAACGGCACAGAGGAGGAAGGAAATAAGAGCATGGAGAGTGTAATGTCTGTCAAGAGGGTGTGCAGAAAGTACCAGTTTACTCATTGTGACACCAGTTAGCGTGCTGGTTGAATCAGTCAGCAAGGTGAGACACATCAGCCGGACCTGTGTCGTTTCCCCGGGGAAATGCGTTGCTCTGTGAAATTTTCATTCCCTCACATGTGTGGACACTTCGTGAGGGTCAGAGACTAACACATTTTGCCAGGAGAGCTCCTGAAGCAGCCTCTATGCAGAATTCACTCAACTTGCTTGGGTGGGGAATGAGTGACGGTATATCGGTAACAGTGTAACAGGGCTAAGAACAAAGGCCTTGAAGTCGGTGTTCTAAAACCATTCTGTCAATGACTAGCTGTGTGTGTGGCTTTGGGCAAGCCATGCCGCTTCCGAGAGCCACAGTCTCACTTGTGAAAAGGGGGGACAGCGATAAGACTTCCTCCCTCAGTTTGTTGTGAGGGTTCAATAAGTTAATGCTTGTAAACGCCCCACGGGACGCTGGGTAAATGCACTCAGGAAATGTTTTGCTGCTGCAAACATACTGAAATGTCAAGTTCAGACGAGTCCACAGAGAAGCAGAGAAGGGGCACTTGCTTGGTTCCCCAAACAAACTGAGATGCTGAGAGAAAACTTTGGGAAGTGACCCAACATGTGTTTTTACAACAAACTTTTAATTTACCCTACATGCCATTTAGAAGATAGGAATAGAACAAAGAGGGATAAAAGCACAGGAGCAGTGTGATTCGCCATCAATAGAAATAAATGATTACAAACAAAAGTAGTTTTCAGACACAAGCTCATCGATAGGAAACCTTGTGGCAGGTCAAGGTTTACCAAGGAGTGAAGACCTGAGAACTGGCTGGTCACAGAGAGGGGCATTCAAAAGGAGGAACATGTGCAATATTCTTTTTTTTTTTTTTAAGTAATTTCCTTTCTTTCCAGAAAGTTTAACTGTCGTCATCAACGTATCATCTTATCAAAGTGCAGCTAACTTACTTTCCAGTGTGTACTTGTTCTTAGATTGTTAATCTTTCAACAGGCATTTTCAGATCCTAACTGCTCCTAACACAGAGACAAAAAGAAGGCCGTGATAGAAAAACATTCAGGGGAGAAAGAGAAAAGGAGAGTATTGATTTCCTAAACAGAAATGACACATACTAAATGATCTCTATCATTCTTAGAGTGGTATTAGTAAGAGCAAACGAAAGGCAAGCAATTAAAACGTTTTCTACCCAAAAGCAGCAGATAGAGGAACAATGACAGAGCAAGTATCACCGGTCCATTTAGAAGAGAATCTGATATCAAAACAAGGTCATACACCACATCAATGACACTTCTCCTTTCTTGTGTCTTTAGTATGTAGAGGAGCCAATTCATGGAGCCTGACCATTTTTGTCAAGTGACACTCTAAGCATGAATGTTCAGCTCTGAGGCTCAAGCAGAGGGATGATGGCCAAGCTCTCGGAGCATCAGCTCTTGGGCAACCAGATGGACCAGCTCTTGCAAGCCATCGATGTTGATTCAGAGAACATCCTCCAGTTCTCCTTTAATTCCTTCAGGGTCTGGGGTACCTTCCACTGGCCTGGAAGACACCTCTACTGGAGTCTCCTCTCCCTGCCTCCCATTACCTTCCTTGGTCTCCTCATGCGTCAAGTGCTGTTGCTGGCAGTCCTGCTCTGAGTTACTGCGGACATAGCCGGGTAAAGTCATGTGGCTGTCGGGCTGCTGGCTGGCCCTCTTGGTGGCTTTGCCCGAGAGGAGGACCATGCGAGTGCTGGCCGCCATCTGCGAGTGGCTGCTGGTGCTGGGCGTCATGGTGGTGAGCACGGAGCCGTACCTGTGGCCGCCGCAGGGGGGCGTCCGTTTCCAGTCGATGGAGAGATTCCACCGGCTCCACATCTTCTTCACCTCAGACTGCACCTAAGCCACAGGGAACCACATTGTGCATCAGAGGGTATCGGGGAGGCCCTGCAGCTTGCTGAGACGAATGTCTGCCCTGATTTCAGTGACAGTAATAATCATCCATTAATTACGGGTCCACTTATGCCAGGGATTGGCATATATATCCCCTCCGGGTCTCGAAAAACCTTGAAGGCGGGTGTTACTCCTGGAGATGAGCAAACTGAGGCTTCCAGAGAGGTGAAAGGACTTGCCCAAGTTTACTATTTTTATTTTTATTTAGTGCATTTTTATTGATTTCAGAGAGGAAGGGAGAGGGAGAGAGAAAGATCCATGATGAGAGAGAATCATTGATTGGCTGCCTCCTGCACACCCCCTCCTGGGAAGTGAGCCTGCAACTTGGGCATGTGCTCTGGACTGGAATTGAACCCAGGACCCTTCAGTCTGGAGGCCAGCGCTCTATCCACTGAGCCAAACCAGCTAGGGCCAAGGTTCGTATTTTAATGGAGGCTGAAATTCAGCCGATAGAAATATCTGACTTGTGGGAGAGGAAAAAGAGGGCGTTGGAGGAGGAAGAGGGATAAATAGTGGCAGCTGTGGCTGAGGAATGGCATGAAAGGGACTCAGCCTGAAATGTGCCCTCCACCCATTCCCTTCCAGAGGCAGGCGGCTGAAGGAGGAGAAGGAGAGAGGGTTGCACACTGAAATGCAGGCCTTCTCAACAGAATGGGGCTTGTTTCTGTTCCTTCAGCTGGAGAGTCAATGCCACCACCAGCGCCCCTTCCTGGGGAAAGCTCATTGGGAATTCCCAGGGAGAATGGACACCTGTGGGGGTGGGGGGGGGGGGGGCTATGTCCTCCAAAAGCACAGCTCAACTCCTGGGCGAACAGACACTGTCCTGCCACCATCTTGTTGTTTTAAAAAGTGTCAAAATGTTCTCATCGGTTTGTCCGAAGAATACATATCTGAGTTTCTGATAAACCTTGCACTTGATTAATAAGTTTAAGCATTAACTGGAATACGGAGTTCACCGTCCTTCCAGGTCTCAATACACATTCCAGGGAGCTGGTTTTGGATATCAGGGTTTATAACTGAATTGATCTTAGTTTACTGAAGTGAATTCCTGCTTTCTCAAAATAATTTATGATTAAAACACCTCTCCTCCCTGGACCCACTTTGTCCTGTAACTGCCGGGGATCCTAAGGTGCTTTGGGTCCCCTTGGGACAGAGACCAGTGGGACTCGGCCCCCTCCACACCTACCTCGCCATTGCAGTAGCAGTAGATGATGGACACGAAAAAGCCCTGGGAACAGAAAGCACGTCAGGGCTGAGCATTCATGCAGATCACAGCACTAGCACCGTCCAGTGATGGCTTCAGAAAATTCCATACATCATTCCCTCCTGATGCTCCCAAGTCCTTATGTTCACATTACGTTTGTCTGAGACCTTCCCGGGGAGTCAGCTGAACCAAGCAAGTAACTGAACAGAACATGCAACGGCACACAAAGAACTGATTTCTATTACACTAGTTCCATTTATGTCGCCACTCAAGATGCCCGCAGATCCCTGGCTGGTAGGCCATATTTCTACACCCTGAGTGCTGGGAACTGCACACAAAGGGTATGTGATGGTAAAAAGACAAACTTTTTTTTTTCATCCCTTCAAAAATATTCACGGAGCTTATACAATGCAAGTGCTCGGCGTGCCAAGGATAAACAGTTTAATCAGGACGGACAAGGTCCCTGTTCCCTGAGGCCTTGTGTTCTAGAAGGAAACGCAGAGGGTGAGACAAAAACAAACAGCCACAGGAGGAAAGCGGAAGGCGACAGGGCTGTGCATGCAGAATAAGTGGTGCCCACAGGGGAGAATGAGGATGAGTCAGACCAGGAGCTCCTCTCTGAGGAGGTGACACTGAAGCTGCTGGAGTGACAGGAAGCAGCCAGGCCGGGAGAATAGTTAGAGGGAGAACATTCCAGGCAAAGGCGACAGCAAGTCCGAACCCCTGGGGCAGGCTGGGCTGGAGAACCCTGCCCCGGAGGGCTGTGCCCCTCAGGCAATGGCATTTGGGTTTTATGCTGAGTGCCACAGGAAGCCTCTGGAAACTCCCGCCAGATAAGCGACGGGATCCATTTATTTTTGAGGTTCTTCAGACTAGGAGACAAGACTGAAGGCGGCAGGCAGTGGCAGCAAGTGCTCACACAGGAAGGCTGGGGAGGCGTGTGCAGTAATCCATGTGACGGGTGATGGTATTATTGTCAAACACGATAGAGAAGATGTGAGGAAGCCACCTCTTCCCTCTTTCTCCCTCTTGTGCTTTCGTTCCTTGTCCCTACCCCACAGAGGTCCCTGTTACAACCACACCTTCCTACACCGGCCCCCAGGCCTGGCTCCTCCTCTGGTCCCAGGCTACCCTGACCTCCACAGGATGGGAAAGCACAGGCACCAGGGGATAGTGCCCTCTCACGGCCCTCGGGAGGCAGGGGCCAGACAGCCAGAAGGGCAGAGAAAGAGGCTGAGAGGGGTGGAGGTGGGGGAGCAAAATATTAAGAACCCAGTGGCTGGAAGGCGCTCTACCTGGAAGGAGTTGAAGAAGAGCTCACAGTGCATCCGGATCTCCCACCCGAGCCCCGAGAAGGAGTGGGGCAGGCACACGAACACGATGTAATGCACCCCGAAGACCAGCACCAGCACCAGCGTGGATTTGGCGAGTTTCCTGCAAGAGAGTGGAAGCCTTCGGATTACTCAGTGCAGAGTGCCTTTCCGTGGAGGCGGCTCCTGGGAAGATATCAGGCTCAGGGAGCTCACGGGGCCGGCTTTTCCCATCTCGCTGGAGCCCACGGCTTCTGCAAGCGTTCCCCCTCCCTCCTCACCCTGTCCCTTTTACTCTAAACCAGACAGTTTGTTCTCACCTCCCATGGTTATTGTCCCCTATTCTTCTTGCTTACAGAACAGTCTTCAGAAACCAGTTGAAATGTCTTCTCCACGACCTCCTACCTCGTATCTGAGTCACCTACAGTCCTACCTCCTACCTCCTACCTCCTGAGTCACCTACAGTCCACTCACTCAGAAAAGTCTGCCCTCAGTCCATTTTGCTCAAGGCGGCATTCCTGAGAAGACGATGGGTTTCCCTGCCTTAACTGATCCTTCCAACGCTCAGAGGCTCCCTGGGATGTGCTTGTCCTCCTCCTGAATCCTGACTGGCGAGTACCCGCTTTCCATTGCTGCATGTACAGGCAGGAGACACCGAATACCTCCATGCGGCATTCTCCTGTGGTCTCGTCAGACAAAAGAGAGCCTCAGGGTCTACATTTGCAGAACTTTGGGAGTCCGGTCTAAAGTCAATCTTAAAGGAAAACTGTGTTTCCTTCTTTCACACAAACGGGTAAATCCCCCTAGAAACTATTTTCCCATCACGCCAGCTTTGTTCCTCCTGGGTACGCCTAAGAGCCACAACCTAGGTTCCAACAAAAAACTGAGAGGTGCGACATGTGGGAAGTGATCACAAGTGAAAAGGCTTGGGAACAGCCTGGTTCTTGCAGAGGAAGAAAATGTCCAAGACTAAATTTAGTGGCTGTCCTGCTAGCTCAGCCATCTGGGTTTTCTCTTTCCGATGGCCAGGCTCATCTGCATCTCTCTGGAGACAAAAGTCCATTTGTAGAGAAACGATGGGATTGAAATTCATTTGTTACTGCTATGGAACAAATTACCATACAGTTAGCAGCTTAACCTGTTTATTCTCTCTCCGTTTCTCTGTGCCATGGGCCAGGCACAACGGAGTCGGGTCCTCTGCTCAAGGTGTGGCAAAGCTGGAGGTGAGGTGTTGGCCAGGACTACATTCCCACCTGGACCTCAGGGTTCTCTCCTAAGTTCGTTCAGCTTTCGAGCAGAGCTCAGTCCCTTACAGCTGGAGGAATGCTGGTGGGGTTACTCAGTTCATATAGACTTCCCTCAGGCTGTCCTCAGGTGCTAGCCGTAGGTCCTCACAACATGTCAGATCACTTCCTCGAAGCCAGGGAGAGAATCTCTCTCTAGGATGCCAGGATGGGGTCTTATATAAAGTGTCGTAATCACAGGACCCATCACCTTGGCCATACAATGTGATCTAATCAAGGGAGAAACCATTCCATCACAGGTCTTGCCCACTCTCATGGAAGAGCATGGGAGTGGGGGTTATCCAGGGCAAGTAAACCAGGGGAGGCAGGACTCTTGAGGGCTATCTAAGAAATCTCCTGATCATAGCAGTTCAAATAATTCCTGTCCATAGAAATGCAAATTGTGTCCAACGGAATGCCACTAATGAAAGCCCTATGGACGTGCACAAGTTTTGCTAATTTGCATCCATTTTTTAAGTCCATTTGGGCATTCATTATCCTCTTTAAAATATATGTGCTATCTTGCCATTTCCTTCATTAATAAGTTAAATAAAATCTTTGAAATGTATCCACTCATATTTGTGTAAGAGTTTTGATTACGTCCTCTGAGTCAGAGCAGTGGTGTACCCCAGGCCAGGGCATACATGAGTCATCCATCTGTCTATCCTACATAATAAAAGTGAAGTATGCAAATTGCCCCCTCAACCTGGAGTTCATCCGGGAGTTCGACCAGGGGATAGGGACAGCTGGGGAAATGGAGGAGAGGATCCGGCCAGCTGTGGCAGCAGTAGGTGATTGGGGAGGGGGATGCCTGCTTCAGCAGACATATACTAAATTTGGAACGAAACAGAGAAGATTAGCATGGCCCCAGCACAAGGAAAAAGAAAACAAATATATTTGTGGGGGAGTAGCAGGAGAGGGGGTGGGTCACTTAATTTATAGGAAAATCCCAATATGCCAATAATTAAAAAAAAAAAAAATATATATATATATATATATATATATATATATATATATACACACTCTGAATTTAAGCATATTGGGCAAGTTTTAGGTTACTTATATATCTTTTTTCTGAAAAACCACAAATTGAAACAAACAAAAATACACATTCATAAATTTATCTTTAGAGACATTTCAGATCAATTGTTATCTTTTCTTTACACTAAATTGTAACCAAAATATTTCTTCTGACGATGCATCCCAGAATTACCTGTATTGCTTTCTTGTGTCATGCCCAACTGCATTGGTCTCCCGAATTTTGGTAGCCAGAACTCTAACCGTATTCAGAAACAGAATAAAATTCAGCTGAAAGAGAAGGTAAGGTTACAAAGAATTATTACATTTGTCCTCAAGCTGTTTACAAAATTTACATAAATTGAACTTCTTTGTCTTCAAAGACTGAAAATTACAATGAATGAAAGGATGGAGCCAACTAGCAGGGGATGAAGGAAACAATTGATTCAGAGTTCCTCTTTCTCTTTTCCTTAACTGATGAATTCAAGATCTCATATTTCTGCAAACCCAAAATTCTTTCTCCAACCCTTATAACTGGCATCTTCGAGGCCATCTCCTAAGTACTCATGAGCAGGTCTGATCAGTTTCGGTGATTTCATTTTTATTCCATTGTTTCCGTCTCTCTTAGCTGATGCCAGTGTAATGTATGTCCTCACGTCTCCGGGGCAGTGCCCTGTTTGGCCAGGACTCACCACATCTGTGGATTTCACCGTCACCACGTCTAGACCACACTGCCCTGCCTGCTGCTCCCCCTGCTCTTCCCGCAAAACGTCCTGCTCCCTCTAACGAGGCCCTGGAAGGCCCAGGACCAAAACAGAGCTTCATGTTCTGTTGTAATTAGCAAAGATTCCTCTCATGTTTTGATGTTATATAAGAGAATTTTAAAATCATCCTCAAATCAACATCAAGAAGTTGCAGGTGGATAATTAATAGTCACATTTGAGAGACTGATTTTTCAGAACAAAAAAAGTTAATGTTTTCTATTTCTCATTAACATAATTTTAACATAATCTGAGCAAAATATAGAAAACAGCAGTGCTGTAAGTTTAGATTCTAGGATCCCAAAATCAAGTGGTTCCTTCCATATTTGTACTAATGTCTGTGATTATCTCTACAATTCAAGTTATTAGGACTTATTTCAATTAGAACCTATAAATATTCATCCTTTACAAACTCCTGACTCTCTTAAATTCATTTTGCTTCATATATTGCTCAGAAATTCTGACCACATTTTATCAGATTTGACTCTCAGATATACAAGAATCCAATTAATTAATATGCTACTACCGGTAGAATTTCTAAAGCCAGAATTAAGTGAGGGATCAACTTACATTTAAAATCCCTGGCATACATGGAGGCTATATATTTACATAAAACCATGCTCTAAGTATGTAACACTGAAAAACAAGCCATTGATCCTAAAGTTAACATATAAAAACACTATAAGTATTGCTATAAAGACGGAAAGATAATTTTCCATAAATTCAATAAACAATATTTATTTGTTTATTAATTTACATTGAATCTATTGGGCAAGAAACAATCTTGACAAGTTTTGGAATGCACGTGAAAAAACACAGTCAATAATATATGCTATAGCCCTAGCCAGTTTGGCTCAGTGTATAGAGCTTCAGCCTGCAGACCAAAGGGTCCCAGGTTCAGTTCCAGTCAAGGGCAAATACCTTGGTTGCAGGCTCCTTCCTGGCCCAGGCCCTGGTCTGGGCATACAGGAGGCAACCAATTGATGTGTTTCTTGCACACTGATGTTTCTCTCTGTCTTTCCCTCTCTCTCCCACTCTCTTTAAAAGATCAATGGAAAAACATGCTATATACATATTTTGTCACACTAGCCAGGTGACCAGTATCTGTGTGGGCTTCAGTTCCCTTTTCCATGAAAACGAAAAGGTTGCATGAAATGGACTCAGTTCTGTAATTGTACTTGCTTTCTGCAGTTTTTCCCCGCCTTCCCTCTTACGTTCCCCAGATATCTAGCTTGTATGTCTGTTTTATTTTTCAACAAGTATTTACTGAGTGACCACTATTTGCCAGGAAACTCGCTAGGCACTAGGAATACACTTTTGAAAATATATGGCTTTTGTTCACTTAACCTTGCAATGTGATGGGCATGCAACAAACAACCAGAAGCATTATACACTGTGATGATCTTGAGAAGGGAAAACCTGACTGCACTCCACAGGTTATGCTAGGCAGCTCAGTGACTAAGCATTGACCTATGAACCAGGAGGCCACAGTTCAATTCCCAGTCAAGCCACATGCCTGGGTTGTGGGCTTGATCCCCAGTGTGGGGCGTGCAGGAAGCAGTTGATCAGTTATTCTCTCTTATGGTTGATGTTTCTATCTCTCCCTCTCTCTTCCTCTCTGAAATCAATAAAAATGTTAAAAATAAATAAGTAAAAGAAGTAGAGAAGGAAGCTCATCTCAGCCTTGTAGGGGTACAGTGTAGAATGAAATGGACAGAGTGGGCAAGTTCAAGGAACTGAGAGGAAGACAGGGTCGCTGAGGCATACCAGCAGGTAGGAGTGACAGGATATCTGTTCCTAGAGTCTCAGGGATTTAGATTATAAGTACAGAAGCCCTAATTGGTTTGTCCCAATGGATAGAGTGTTGGCCTATGGACTGAAGGGTCACAAGTTTAATTCCGGTCAGGTCATGTATGTTGGTTGTGGATACATCCCCAGTAGGGGGTGTGCCAGAGGCAGCTGATTGATGTTTCTCTCTACTCTTCTCCCTTCCTCTCTGTAAAAAAAAAAAAAATAAAATAAAAAAAATAAAAAAAAATAAAAAAAAAAATAAAAAATATTTTAAAAAATAATATAAGTACAGGAGCTCACAGAGACAGTGACCCTGAAGTCAGAATCCCAGCTCCACCACTTGCTAGCTGCATGACCTTGGGCAGTGTCCTCATTTGGAGTGACGGGAAGTATTAGAAAAATTGGCACAGCAAAGCACTGAAAACAGTGCCCAGCAGGGGTCAGCACTGGGCAGTGTTTTTAGCACCAGCATCATCCTTCTTGGCTTCGGGACACGAGCAGCTCCGAGGCAGGCGCACCGCCGTCAGAGTGCGGAGATGGGGTCTCGGGCTCGTGTCCCCCCTTACAGGCTGGCTCTACAGTAAAATGAAGGAACCGAAGGAACTGTGATAACCCTGACCTGTAATAATGCGACAGAAAGGTAACACTCAGGGAGCAGAAAGGTGCTCTGAAATCTCTTCTCTGCTTTTTGAAATTAAATGCACTTTGTAATATTGGAAAGACACTTAAGAATTCTTGCATTAGGACTGTCATAATTATAGGTCAAGAAGATGCAAATGGCCTTTCCTGCCTAAGTCTCCTTCCAGAATCCTTGAGTGCTCCATCGTCTGTACCTGTACTTCACCAATGGCGAATCTTTTAGACCCTCCCTCAGCACCTTACCGTTTCCCTTTGTAAGTTAGACATCTCAGCAGATAAATCCCTCAGTGTCAGCCACGAATAAGGGTCTGACCCCCAGCCCAGACTCTCCCAAGAGTGACTGCTGTACGGTGACAGTTTCCTTAATCTTCCTAGAACAGAGACAGACTTTCTCTGGGTTTTAGCAGCAGCTTAATTCTGCATCCTTTTTTTTTTTTTCTTTTTCTTTTTTTAATCTATCCAAGCTTTTAAACTTACTCCGATGGCTGCTAAGATAGGGGCTTGGTAAATCCACTTCATGTCTCCAGCACTAAGTTCCCAGCACCTGAGGCAGGAAAAAAAAGCTTTCGTAAACAAATTAGCAAAGAAACAGACAATGAGAATTAAGTAGTATTTTAAGTTTTACAAAGAATCCCAGTCCTGAACATTGAAGACAAAAAGAAAAAAAAAATCTTATAAAATACCCAAACCAGTGGGGGAAAAAGTATAATGTGTCCTGGTTTCCACACCATTAGCTATAGAGTATTATAAATATCGATGAATTATTTGTATAATAACAAGAGTCAAAACCATGTTTCCAGAGCCACATAAAAATTAGTCTTCTAAATGTGGTGCGACTGGTACTTTATTTTTATTATTATTACTGGAACTGATGCTTTTATTTTACAAGCAATTCAATTTTATAACTTCACAGCTTGTAGAACTCTGATAATAATGAAAATCATCCTTATCCATAGGAATGCAGTAGAAAACCTGCAATAATATGCATGGTTCTTATTGATACGAATGTAATTTTAAAAAATTGAATACAAATACTTCTTGTCCACAGAAATGAAAATTTTAGCTATGTGCGGTGACATATAATTGATTAGTGTCCCGATCTTGCCTTTCAAAGCCAGAAGTTTGAATTTCTCTTCATCTTGGCCATCTGGAGAAAAATTGATCAGGCTTCGATTTAGAAGATACTCTAAACTCTATTGACTATACAAGGAAAAACTTTTTCAGCTCCAGAATTCTATCCGTAGTGTCACTTAACCACCTTTTCATGCAATGGAAGGGCATGCCTCTTCTTATAAGGGCACCAATACCTGTCATCTCAGAGCCCCACCCTTCTGACCTCATTCAGCCTCAACTACATCCCGTGGACCCCATCTCCAAATACAGTCACGGGGGGAGGGGGGTTGAGAGCTTCCACAAAATAAATTTCGGGGAGACGCAGTTCCGTCAATAGCAATACGTTTGACCGTGAGAACAGACAGCAGGCACCTGGCTGCTTTTCTACGTTTACCTCTTCTTTTCTTAATATATTTTATTGATTTTTTACAGAGAGGAAGGGAGAGAGATAGAGAATTAGAAACATCAATGAGAGAGAGAGAGATTGATCAGCTGCCTCCTGCACACCCCCTACTGGGAATGTGCTCGCAACCAAGGTACATGCATGCCCTTGACCGGAATCGAACCCGGGACCTTTCAGTCTGCAGGCCAACGCTCTATCCACTGAGCCACACCGGTGTCGGCCGTTTACCCCTTCTTTTCCACTCACCTTGCATCAGCCATGGTTGCTCGCGCCACAGCCCAGCCTGCAACAAACACTGCGGGGAACCCTGTAATCAGAAGAGAACTCAGAGTCCATGTTGTTGTTTTTTAAGATTAAGAGATTTTTTTTTTCTTATATTCACCACACATAAAAATGTACTTTTAAACTGAAGAGAGGGAAAACAGGCATGGAACATGTTACTATGTGAACAAGGCAAGTTCTCATTTGCATGTTGTCCATTTGAGAAGTGAGCCAATCCAGGGAGGTTACGCGCTCCCAAAAGTCTGAGGATGAAGGAAGGTTGGCCCAGTCTTCATTTGAGAGATGTGAATGTGAGGGCAAGCTCTCCTGGGAGTGGACTGAAGTTCCTGGGGCCAGAAGCAGGCCGTGGTAGGTGCATTTTGAATATAACACATATTATCAGAACAGGCAAACAAAATACAACATAACCCAAAGGGCCACACTGTGTGCTCCGTATGTGTGGTCTCCCTACACATATCTCCATATTTCAACTGTACTTCCTGCCAAATGGATGATCAAATAGCGTTGACTGGATTGAAGTCACGTTACACAGAAACAGTGAAACCGGATATGTAGTGCCTCCTCCTGACTGTTTTCAGAGAATACAGAACATGAAAATATTCTACCTACAAGCCTGACAGTGGGAACATGTGTACACAGGATAACCGGGAAAGGTGCTTTTACATGATATGTACATTCTGACAATTCATCTTGACAGCTGAAAATTAAGAATGGCTGCTGATATAGAGGTAAATTACACTTAATAAGGATAAAGAAACAAGACTAACAACACCTTTTAAGTGTAGAACTAACTATATTTTTTTAATGTGTGGTTGAAAGAACAAAATGGAACCAAGAATAAAGTGCCACGTTTATGAGGAAACTGAGTTGGGGGGGAGAGGGAGGAATGAAGAATGAGCTTGGCTGAAAGAAGAAAAAAAACATAGTCATCATCAGTATTTGCCTTTACTCCTCTCTATACCTTGTTTTGTAATAACGATGTGTAAAAACAGTCATTTTAAATATTTGCCTTCAATTTACTAAAGGTCCAACATGGCATCTGCTCCTCTTTAGGTTGTTACTTCCTTCCCTCCCAACTGATTGTTAAAAATCAGCAAAATGGATATAAGCGATGTAACTCCACACCCCGCTGAGAAGAGCTGAAAGCTATAATGATTGGTTCCAAATGAATAACAAAGGAATCCAAGCAAGCTCTCTTCCCCGGTGAAGCCAACAAATCAGCTCATTGAAAGAAAGGAGGAAGCTGGGCTCGCTGTGAATTATTCGAGCGAATGATCCTGGCAAGGCAGCTGCAACGTTTTTGACCATTATTTTCCTCATAGGAATTTGGAAAAATGATAAGAAATAAAAATGTTTTAAAATCAGATTCTCTGTGTTGAAACGAGGTGGGGGAAAGTCTACTAACCAAATAGCTATTGACTTTGATAAATACTATGTTTGAGTAGTAGAGAGATATTCTTCAAAGAATACCACTGTTCTTTTAACTGTAAATGCCCTAAGTTAGAGCATTTACTTGTTTGAAAAATAGAGTTCAAAAGAGAGGGAATCAGAAGATAGACCAACTCTAGAATAATAATGCTATAAAGATTGGTTATTAGTGTTTTTAAATTATGGTTGAGTGAGCACATATTTCACATAAAAATGCTTTTTTAAAGTGACTTTTCATATAAATCCTACTTGCTGTCATGTATGCTTTTAAACGATTTGATAAAATAAGTTCAAGGAATGATGCCTATCCACTGTAGCTATCATTCCTATGCCAAAATTTTTGTGGACAAATTAATTAAAGTTGTAAAAAAAAAAAGTGTTAGAAACTCATACTCGCATAGAAGCTCACTGAAAATTCTCTTTTTCATAGAAAGACTTAACTCATTTCCTGGGTTTCAGTGAAGCAAAGTCCTGACTATAAGGAAGGACAGACTTGACTGATATAGCCCAAATAAGAGTTGATGGTGAAGTTAGCGATCAAACCAATAAGTAAATAGAGGAAAAAGAATTTATTACAAGTGTGACCAGTGCTGTAGAAATCCAAAAAGAAAAAGAAACTAATTCAGACAAATGCCTACACTTATTGTTAAATTTGCTATTAATAACCAATCTTTGCCGACATCTAGTAATTATGTCGGTACACAGATATAATTTTGACTTGAAGTCAAACTACCAAAAGCTGTCCAAAAAATTTCAAAGTACCCTGAAAAAAATGCAATGTATTCCCCCCCCCCCCCCCCCAGTAACTGCTAGTTAAAGAGATGGGAGAGCCTTTAAACTGACAAGCTCCCTTCCGAAATAAAATTTATTCATGACAATCGTTATTTCAGAATAAATGAAGTGTTATAGTAAGTTGACCCTTTGTCTTCTTTTTAACATATTTTTATTGATTTCAGAACGGGGGAGGGAAAGATAGAAAGGAAGAGATAGAGGTGATTTGCTGCCTCCTGCATACCCCACACTGGGGATTAAGCCCAAAACTCTGGCATGTGCCTTGACCGGGAATAGAACTGTGACCTCCTGCTTCATAGAACTGTGACCTATGTTCAACCACTGAGCCACACTGGCCAGGTGACCCTTTGTCTTCTTAAAGGTTATTAATTAACTAGAAGGAAATTCAGTATTCCTCACTTTGCATTTTCTAATGTTAAAACAATTTTAAGGCAAAATAGGCCAAGAAATATTCTAATTTTGGAAGGGGGGGGAAAAAAAACCTTCAAATTTGATTTTGAGCCACCTACTTCATTTTTTTCCTATGCTGAGCACTTCATCATTTAAATGTTAAAATAGCAATTGCAATACGCAATTGTTAATCTTGAAACTTAATTTTAACCACGGATGAGTTTTAAGTTCTCTTTAATTTTAACACTCAACATCCTTTCCTCCATCGTGTTGCGTTAGTCCCTCGTCCAAAAATCCCTCTCGTCCTGATGAGGCAGTTTTGAAATGTGAGCTGAACATCTTTTTTTTTTTTTTTTTTGATTACTTATCCCATAAATAATTTGAATTATTTCCATCTAAAAGATAAGGTCAATCTACATAATTAGTTTGTAGTTTGTATTGTTATACGCAGTCAAGATAATCTTATAAATTCCTTTCTGGTGTTTTCATCATACAACCTAGAAACACAAGTCAATGATGAACCATGATAGCTTAAAATTCCAAAAATTAAAAATTTGAGGATGAAACCATTGCTAACTCAGGACCCTGAATAAGCTGTGAACGGAGCACTTGTCAATGTGCATTGCTAACAAGGTGGTTCCCTTATGGTTCCACCAAAAAATCCTCTCAAGAATGTGGCCTAAGAACACTAGCCATCTGCTAAGGTTGGTACCACCGGGAGGATTACAGACATGAACAATGAAAGAGAAAGAAAGAGAGATTATTTCAGGAAAATCGCTGAGAGAATGTTAAGGATAGGCATGACAGAAAGTTCTGAAGTCCATCATGCAGGTTAAAAGAGTCATTTCCTTACCCCAGCCTATCAAGGTGAAGCCCCATAGGTATTTGGTGTCGGAAAAGAAAGCCACAAAGATTAGACTGTGCAGGTAGAGACCTTCCACCAAGATCCAATAGTAGTTTGTAGCCAAGAAGTAAATAAACAGCACAACAGCAATCTTGCACCCAATCTGTCACAAATAAACCAGAATTGCATCAGATTAGAACTCCTAATTGTACCGAATGCCAATATTAGATGACTGAAAAGCAATTATTCATTTTTCTTTTTATAATCTACTAGAGGCCCCGTATAGAGATTCATGAACTGGGGGAACGGGGGGAGTAGAGGGGAAAGGTGGGGGGGAGGCATCCCTCAGCCCAGCCTGCATCCCAAGCTGGTAATGGGACATCCTTAGCACTGCCCCTGAGGCGGGAGAGACTCCCACCACCTCCACTGCACTTGCCATGAGCCTGGCTTCTGGCTAAGCTGCACTCCCCCTAGCTGACCACCAGGGGCAGCTTCTGCATTGAGTGTATGCCCCCTGGTGGTCAATGCTTGTCATAGCGACCAGTTGGTCCGTTGGGTCGATTTGCATATTAGCCTTTTATTATATAGGATGTCTCTTGTACATAGGAAGGCCAAAGCTTTTGAAAGAGACTGGAAAAAAATTATTTTAACATAGCATTTTTAAGATTATAGGTTTGGTTATCTATAATTCTACCATAAATGTATTTATTTTCTGGTATTTTTTTTTTTTAATGCCCCAAAAGCTAATGTCTTAAAACAATAAACATTTAAAACATCTTATGAATCTAGGTGATTCTGCTGATCTGTGCCAGGCTCAGCTGATCTTGGTTGGCTAGGCTTGTGCATACAGGTCTGCCCTCAGGTGGCACACTATCACATCTACTTCCTTCTATTATATAAAACAAGTCACAAAGACAGTCTAGAATCAGAAGCAGCATGGAAAACAAAGCTACAAGGCAAAGAGCAAAGACACAGATAAGGCATTAATTCGCATCAATTAACTATACTTCATTTCCAAATATGTTGCTTTAAGGATCTAATTAACTGAAATATGGGGTGATCCTATTTAATAAGTAACACGAGGACATTTAACAGCAGAATCAAGTACCATGGAAGTCAGTTTGAGTCTACAACAGAGGAACTGAACGTCGTGGGCTTTTACATTCCAAGCTTCTGGGTTTGCAAGTGGGGTTTTTATTTTTGCGAGTGGTGACAGCTGCTATGGGTCATACATTAAGTGCCATTCCGATCATGTGTTTGTTGCACTTTCTGTTCCAGAATACTCTTGAATGAATAATTAGGCATGAGAGTTGAGGACAGAATTGAGATAGGAAGCATCAGTACACAAACTGGTCATCTATAATATTTCAGGAAGTCCACAGATAAGACAAGCCAAAACAATATAACACACATTTAGCGGGCTGTAGTGTTTTACTTATGTTCTGAGAGGAAATGGTGAGAACACTTACATATTGTGATTTGCCCATGGAAGGTGCATCCATGAAATTCTGTAGGTCATCCTGCATCATCAGTGACTGCAGCTCCTTGACCCCCATGTGAGCATGGACCACTCTGTCCTTGATGAAGATGCTTGCAGCTCTCAGCATGAAAGATGCAAATAAGTGCAGGTGGATATAGTTCCTAGTGCAATGCAATCGCCTATGGAGAAAAAATAATCAGTTATGGATTTGGATGAGAACAGAAAGGGGCAAAGAAAATACACAAGCGTGCCCAAGCTCCTCCCCAGAACAAAGGAAAATATAATAAACCGGAACAAAGACAGAAGCCCATTCTCATATATTTCCAATGGTTAATGGAGAACCACTGAACAGAGATAAACATTATCAAAACTGGAAGTTTCACATTTTCAATACTTTCTCCATAAGAAAATGTAAAATTGTGATAGCGTTCCACAATTTTATTTTCTAGACATGTTGGAGAGGAAACAATCTCATCCTATCTAATAAAAGAGAAACATGCAAATTGACCATACCTTCGCTATGCCTACAAGCCACACCCACCAGCCAATCAGGGTGTGTATGCAAATTAACCCCATCAAGATGGCCGTTAATTTGCAGATCCAGGTCACAGCGAGGTTACTGAAGGCAGCATAGAAAGAAGCCAAGCGCTGTAGAAGGGAGTGAAGCTGTGGAGAAGCGAACGGGGCAAGGGAGAAGGGAAGGAAGCAGGTGGGCCAGGGAGAACGGGGGGGGGGGGGGGAAAGCAGGTGGGCCAGAGAGAAGGGAAGGAAGCAGGTGGGCCAGGGAGAAGTGGGGGAGCAGACAGGGCAGCGACCGCAGCAGGAAGCCCTATTGCAGGAATCTTCCTGCAATGGGCCTCTAGTTTTAACATAAAAATCTTTGGGATTATAAAAGGATCATAGACACAAATTAATCAGTAACATGCTTAGTATTTTAGATATTATCACACTAATTTCCAATGCAGAAAGCTAACTCCAAAAAGAGTTTTTCTTCAAGTGTGATAAAAAAAAAAACTCAGGAAAACTGTGGTATGTTCTGATAAAAAAAAAAAGGCTCAGCTCTCTATTGCTTGACGGTAAGAAAACACAGCTTTCCTGTGTAATAAACACACTACTACTACTTCTCTTCCAGAGACAAAATACCCAAGTGTAAGCGGGTAAGAACATTTTTAAGCCAATGGTCTCTTTTTCTGTTTTTTAACATAGGATGGGAAGGTCAAATAAGAACAAACTAAATGTAGCCCAGCCAGCATGGCTCAGTGGTTGAGCATAGACCTATGAACCAGGAGGTCAGGATTCAATTCCCAGTCAGGGCACAGGCCTAGTTTTCAGGCTCCATCCCCAGTAAGGGGCATGCAGGAGGCAGCCGATAATTATTCTCTTTCATCATTGATGTTTCTCTCTCTCTCTCTCTCTCTCTCTCCCTTCCTCTCTGAAACCAATAAAAATATATGTAAAGAAAAAGGAATGAGCTAAATTTAGATATTACAATGTTAATGTGCTATTTATGTGCATTGTGCCCAGATGGTCCTCTCAGGTTGACTCTTCCTTGGGAGTGTCTTCACAGGGGAGCAGTACATGGAGACTATTTCCATCCCAGTATATAAGTAGGTTTTGATTATTGAGAGACTCAACACTATTTGCTCTCCTAATAAAGGAGTATTTTGTTTTGTGAAACAGAAGAGTTTCTGAAATTTGTACGTAATATTTTCTGTATAGTACAGCAATCTAAAATAATAAAAGCATAATATGCTAATTAGACCAGATATCCTTCCAGACAACCTTCTGGATGAAGCTGAGGCTACGAGGAAAGCCTGGGTCCCAGTTGCCTGCCAGCAGCTAGAAGGAAGCCCCAGTCCCAGGCGCCAGCGGGAAGCCGGTGCTGGCAGCGGGAGGAAGGAAGGCCTACTCTTGTAAAATTTCGTCCATCGGGCCTCTAGTTATATATAAAGTAATTATATCGAAAGAATCCGCTGTTAAACCAAACCATGAATTTCTCATAAAAAAATAAATAAATAACTTGTCAGAGTCAAGTCATATAATAACACTAGGCTGAATTCAGAAACTTGTGTTAGGAAAAGTATTTGGGGACACAAATTGTGAGACCTCTGTGTCTCGGATGGATAATAATGAGAATGGGAATCGCTCACCTGAAGTAACCAATAATGAGAATAGCCACAACCAGGGAGCCAAAGGAGATGGAATAGCCCACAGTGTACATGACATACAGGCGTTCAAAGAATTCTTGCTGCAGAGGGAGAGATTTAATTAGAAAAGTAGGTTTGAAAAAAAATCATGCATTTACCTGTTTAGAGGGAGCCAATGTGTTATCAAATTCCTAAAATACTATAGATTATCCTTCTGGTCCCCTCTTATGTCTTAAATTCAAGTCAGGGTTAAAGATGTGAGAACAATATTTGGTATTTCTTATTGCTTAAGTGAGGTCAAACTGAATGTTGCAATATTTCCTTCTTATATTTTTGTACTGTTCATTTTCACTAACTAGAATTGTATATCTGAAGTAAATAAAATGATATATGAAGTAAACAAGACACATGTTATAAGACTATTTTAAGAGGAAATTGGTAAAAAAAGAATATGTAATTTTTTGGAATATTATTTCTAGCTTTCTTTAGCTTTCTTATTGAGCAGTAATTTACATGAACTAAAATGTAAAAGCCCTTAAAAAAAGCAAGAAGGGTTTGACAAACCAAGTTCATTGTGACCCTTGCAAGTCAAAAATCACCCACCATCAACCCCCACCTAACTTCTGTTCCAATTTCTGGCACCATAAATTGCTTATCTATTCATGTATTTCACATACTTTTTGACTGTTCATGGAGTCCTTAGAATTATATAGCATATACCATTTTCATCAACATACTGCTTAGATAAGTGGTATTGCATGAATCAATGATTCATTTCTATTTAATCTTTTATTTTAAAAAAAAATTATAAATTCAAAAGAAGTGGAAACAGTAAGAAAGATCAAATATACCTTTTACCCAGGATCCTCCAGGGGTTACATCTAACATAATTAGACCGAAATACCAACACCAGGAATTTGACGTTGGTACAACTTGTGTGTACATAGTTCTATGTCATTTTAACACGTATGTAAATTTTAATGACCATCAGTGCAATCACGACAGGAAACTATTCCATCACCACAGAGATCTCCCTCATGCTGTCCCTTTACTGTCAGACCTACCCTCCTCCTCCTCACCATCCAGAACACCTGGCAACCATTCATTTATTCCCTAGCTCTATAATTTTGTCATCACGCACGTTACACGTGAGTTCTGAGTAATAGGGGTTTAAGCATGACTTTTTAAAAGTACATTTTTATTTATTTTCGAGAGAGGGGAAGGGAGAGGAATAGAAAGATAGAAACATCGACCGGAGAGGACATCAATTTGCTGCCTCCTGCACGCCCTCTAGTGGGGATTGAGTCCACAACCCAGGCATGTGTGCCCCGACCAGGAATCAAACCATGACCTCCTGGGTCAGGGGTCCACACTCAACCACTGAGCCACCCAGGTTGGGCTAAGCATGACTTGTAAAGCAGCATGTATAACTTAAAAGTAACTACCTACAAGTTTCAAAGTTTTCATACAATTACTGCCCTAGAAACAGCACTGATGAGGGATTTGCGGAGCAGGCTCTACGTTAAGCCTGCCACCCGTGAGCTGTGTCACTCTGGCCAACACTGCATGTCTGGTTCTGTGTAAAATTTGGTATTATGCTGAAAGATCTATAGGATGCCCCAAGCCTCCTTAATTCCACAACTCTAATCTTTCACGTACTAATGAATCAAACACTGGTAAATCTTAGGAAATGGGAAATACTTATCTCTAACATACAAAGCTCCTCCTGGAATACAGAGTGAGATGAGATGCAGCCATTTACAGGTAATCAAGAGAAATCATGCATCGTGTCCCTGATTACCTCTTTAAATCTTTACACATAACATAATGTAATGTAAACATCATGCAATGCAACAATACACACCGAGACACATATTTATAAGCATATCTGTATGTCTCAGCCAACTAGCTCTAACCTAAAGAAAATACTTTTCCTTAACCAGGTATCTGAAAAGATGACAACCTTGTTTTTACCTTTTATGATCTTTGTTGTCTTAGGAATAAAAGGGTTTTTCCATATAATGGTTGACAATCAAAAACGGCATAAAATCATTATTCTGTTTTCCCTTAAGGATTCACAAAAAAATAATAATAATAATAAATAAAAAATTACCACTACCTTCCCTAGGCTGACATCTGGCTGAAGAAAGTGAAGACAATCTGAATAATTAGCCCAGGTTTTATTTAAACTGTGTATAAAATCCCACGTTCCATTGGGGTTACAGCGTCGCAAAGCCACTCCTGTAAAGACATGAAAAGAAACAATGAAAGTGCTCAGGTCTCTTTGAGTCCATTACAAAAATAAAAATAAAAATAAATGGTGAATTTTGTTCCAAACTACCCATTTCAGAAAAACCCCATACCTTTATGATTGAAGTCATAAATATAAGGAGGGCAGGGGACAGCCAATATTTTCCCCACTGTTCCTCTGGGCCAACAAATGAGTCCATCCCATTCTGGAAAACAATTTCCCTCTGATGAAAAAAGAAATTAAAAATCACACATACAAAAATGCAGTGAGAACCAGAGAATAAATGCACTCAAAATACAAAATTTCAAGCCACTGCCTGAGCAAAATGTAAAACAAACTGGTAATTTTGGAAACTAGAATGAGTTAGATAGGGTGAAAATGTCCCAAAATTCATCCACTTAGCCTCATCGAGGGGCCATTGATGGGAACACTTAATTTGCATATATTAAAAATATTTTAGTTATGCCAATATTAGTGAGTTATAGCATCTACACCAATGAAAAAGAAAGATGCAAATTGACTGTACCTTTGTGATACCCACCAGCCAATCAGGAGTGAGTATGCAAATTAGCCCAACAAAGCTGGCAGGTTAACTTGCATATGCAGGCACTAAGCAGGTGGGGGCAGGGCGACAACCCAGGTGTTCTGCTCTGCCCCAGCCACTTGGGGCCTCTGGGCGGCGTGGGAAGGAGGGACCAGAGTGGAAAGAGGCAGCTCCGGGGCGGAGGGGAAAGCAGTGTCGACAGCCAGGGAAAGGAAGGCCCACTCTTGCAAAAATCTTTGTGCATCGGGCTTCTAGTATAATATATGAGGAACATTAGAATTCATTGTGAACTTCTTCCAACTAGCATAGTTGTAGCTATATTTTTTTACCCTAGATTTTTTTTTAATTGCTATTAAAAATATAACCTATGAAATAGATTGAGCTTCAGAGGTATACTCCAAGGTTTGGGTTTGCCTTTACCAATGAGTGCCTTTACACTCATCTCAAACCAAATCCTCAAAAGCTCTACTCTTCCCGAGATGCATCCAGGACCCTCTCACTTCTCAAACCTCCGTGGTCTCCAGCCCGAATTACTGCAATAACCTCCAACTGGTTCTCCTGACTCTGTTCTCACTCCCCTCCACTTATTCTTTCATTAGAGTTGACATTCAATACTATATTAGTTTCAGGTGGGCAGCATGACGGTTAGACATTTACGTAATTTACAAAGTGATTCATTAGTGTAGTGCCTGCCTGGCACCATACATAGTTATCACAATATTATAATGACTAATTTCCACTTCTTAATCCCTTCACCTTTCCCCCCAGTCCTCCAACCCCCCATATCTGGCCATCATCAGTCTGTTCTCTGTTTCTGAGTTGGTTCTGTTTAGTTTGTTTATTTTGTTTTTCAGATTCCACATATAAGTGAAATCATATGCTATGTGTCTTTCTGCCTGACTTATTCCAAAAAGGTACATGCAACCTTATGTTCATTACAGCATTATCTATGGTAACCAAGATATGGAAGCAACCTAAGTGCCCATCCTCAATTAGATAAGTAAAGAAGATGTGGTACATACATACAATGGAATATTACTTGGCCATAAAACAGAATGAAATCTTACTTGGCCACTTTTAAGGTCTCCTGTGATTACCATGGGCCCATCCAAATAATCCAGCATAACCTGCCTATTTTAAGGCCCAAAATCTTAATTCCACCTGTGTTGCTCCTTTTTCATATACCATGACATATACAGGCCTAACACCAGGTACTGGGGAGTGGCCACCTTTGGGGGCCGTTATTCTGTTATCCCGGGTGCTAGCCATGACAGCTCTCCATGCATTAATTATCAATTATTAACTCTGGCTGAGGATGTGTGTTCTCACTAACGTTCATGACGTCGTTTGTTCGGTTTTGGATGGTTGGTCAGCACAACAGAACCTCACACCAACGTCTGATCTCCACATAAAGGACTCCAGCATAAACCTGAAATGAACGCCTCGCGTCCACCACATCACACGGGAACAAATCTGTGACCTGCTGTGTGAATGGCTGAAGCAGTGAAAAATAAACACAACGCCCTCCCTCACCCCCACGGTTCTCATGAAGAGAGCCTTTTCCTGGAAGCTGCCTCCCTTTGTCCACATAAGAAGCCTGGACTCTCACTATCACACGCACCCCCGGGAGCTCAGCACCCTGGCTCTGGCTTCTGAGGCGCAGCGTACCTGCCTCCTCCCACCACTGCCTGCTGTGTGTTTGCTTTCTCATTTACACCATCAGCTCCACCCTAAATGCTCTTCTTTATCTCGATAGCATCCACCTGGCTTCCCATCCCTTCACAGTGTTTAACAAACCATGCATGCTCATTCCTCTGCACTGTCCAGCCTTCTATCAGGAAGATAGCTATCCTGCAATCTATAAAAACTGAAGCTGAAAATGTAATTAGTGGTGCCTCTAAAATGTAGGCAGCAATGTCCTATGTTTCACCTCTTCACACATGTTAGGTGGCAGAAGTTTAAATCCAGCCTATTTACTCTTTTTATGACCAATTCACACCTGCTGGCCTTTAACTGTCCTCTTTCCCTCTGCCAGGAATGCCTTTTACTTCCTCCTCTGCACATCTAACTCCTGCTCCTTTCATATTCCTTCCATCCTTCCCCAATGGATTAAGCTGCCTTTCCAGGGATTCCCAGCTTTCTTGCCTCTGTGGTTAATAACACCATACCAAACGGTATCACTGTCTCCAGGGGCAAAGTGCCAGGGCAAGGATCTGAGGGACACAGACACCAGAAGGAACTGGATTGTCTGGCATCGGGGCAGGAACTCGGGGGCAGCTTTCTCCCAGATGGTGTTGCTCGCAGGGATCATTGTTCCCATGCTGGGACCTCCCCGGTCCTAGGGCTGACTGGCAGCCATTTCCGTTCGCTCTGCCCTGATAATTCCCTAAAACCACGCCCCATCCAATTTACAACCCCACCCAAGCTGTGTGCAGCAGCTTTTGCATAGGAATGGCCTGTCCTTGCTCAGAGTAAAACCTCTCAAACAAGCTGCAGCTGGGTCAGGGAAGTCAAAACCAATCAATAAAAGGCCCAAGACCCGGCACCAGCACCAGCCTGCCTTGCTTCACAGCTGGGCCTCATCCGGGCACTTCCAAACCCCATACAAAGAGGAGGAATCTGCAGATCTCTCTGTAGCTCCTGCTCAGTGGCCCCTGCAGTGGCTGACTTTGCAGCTCCCTGGAGACCCAAGAGCCAGTGTACCCAGTGGTCAGTGTCAGACCATAACAGTTTACAACTCTACACCTCCTCAAGTGACACACTCAAGGGGCAGACTCAGTGAGCACCAAAGCCCCACTGAAGCAAGTCCTGCTCCATAGGGGTGTCTCCTGCACAGCAGCTCTCCCACTGATGTCGCACCTGGTCCTCACAGACAAGTCAATCCTCCCAGTGACACCCACCGCTATCAAGTCCCAACTACAACAAGACTGTGCTCACAGCCCACAAAAGGGTGCACCCAGACTGCCACTGGGCGCTATAGGACTCCCACCTCACAAGGCAGAGGAGACACAGCAGCTCTACCCAAGACATGGAAACAAACGCAGGGAAGCGACTAAAATGCCGAGACAAAGAAACAAGCACAGTTAGTCGATATCCCCAAACTCACCTCTCAGTTACTCCTCCCACAGGGAGGGGAAAGCTAGCGGGTTAAAGAGGTGAAAAGAGCCTTATTCTGCCACCCAGACCTCCACGTGGGAACAGAATGGCTAAGGAGGGTCGCCTAGTATTAAGTACGGGGAATTTGCAGTCTTGGTGAGGACTGGGGTAGGGCTGAGAAGAGGACATGGTTTTCTCAGCATCGTTACCTCCTTCCTGGAGCTGAGCTGTGATGTTGAGTTCACACTCTGCTTTAGCTCTCAGCACGAGGACAATCTGCTCCTCCACAGTAACGGTGCCACCGGAATCCAGCTGCGGAAATGAACAAAACATAAACAGTGGAAAACATTCCCATAATCCTTTGTTAAGCCAAGGTACAAACTTGCACTATTTTACCTTCTAATATAATTGAAAATGAAAGGTTTGATATCAAGCTATTTGAAATAGTCCTTTATCCGAATCAAAATCTAATATACATCAATGTATAAGATTTTAGGATAATCTTACTTTTACCTGATTTGCCTAAAGAAAAAAAAATCCCATAATAGAACATTTTTAATATAACTAGGTAATATGTGTGATATAATTAGAAAAAAATAACAAACAGATGGTAAATTTTCTGCAGTATTTCATTAATTCTCCTGCAATGTGTCAGTTACGGCACACAGAAAGACAATGGGCTCAACTAGCATGGCTCAGTGGTTGAGGTTCGACCTATGAACCAAGAGGTCAGGGTCTGATGCCCAGTCAGGGCACATGCCTAGGTTGTGGGCTAGATCTTCAGTGTAGGAGGCAGCCGATCAATGATTCTCTCTCATCATTGATGTTTCTGTCTCTCTCTCCCTCTCCCTTCCTCTCTGAAATAAAAAATAAAATAAAAAAAATAGGAAAGACAATGGACTAGATGACTAAATTTAGTCTACTGAAAAATTACTGGGAAATCACTGGCTCAAAAGAGAGCCTCTGATGAGACTGCCGTGAAGACATCAGCCATAGATGTTGTCACCTGAAGATTTCGCTGGGACCAGAGGATCCCCTTCCCAGATGGCCCACTCCCGTGGTATGGGCAGGGGCCTCAGTTTCCCAATGGCTGATGGGAGGACTCCTCGGCTCCGCACCAGAGGGCTCTCTCCATACGGGGGCTTGAGTGTCTTCACAGCATGTCAACTGGCTTCCCAAAGAGTGAACGATTCCAGGAAGAAGGCCAGGGGAAACCACAAGGCCTTCTGTGATCATCTCAGGTGTCACTCATGACCAGTCCCATCACATTCTGTTTGTTAAAAGCGAGTCACCAACTCTCCCTCAAGGAGAGAGAAATTAATCCCTACCTCTTTAAGGGAGTTATCAAAAAATGTCTAAATATATTTTAAGCAACCACAATTTCCTGCAAGTGATCACCTATTTTCTAGAAAAAGAATACTGAGCACTATGTGTTCTGTAGGCTTATTAACAATAATGTGGTTCAGAGCTTTGCAGTTCAGTTTTCAGTTAGAGACTTAGATATTCTTAAATCAAATGAGATAATGAAACTTATGAGTTTATCTAAGTGGCAAACTCCCTATAACACAACCTTTTGTAAATCTAAAATCTTTAATTTCAGTCTGCAAATACACTTATCCTCTAGAATGCTTATTTAAGGAAAATAGAAAAACAACCTTTTCATATTTCATTTACATTATGCACTGAAAATTAAAAATTGAAAGATGTTTATATTATTAGCCATAGAAAGTACAATTAGAGATTAGTAATAATTATAGTTTTAAATAATAGATAGACAGGTTAAACTGAAATGAAGGATATCTATCATAAGAACTAATTTTAGTGGGAAAAAATGTGTGTTAATCCTGAAAATTATGAGTTTATTATTTTCTAATATATAATGTAAAGGATATCTCAATTAATCAGATGAATAATGTTTTGGAGGTTGTTGGATATTATTCATAGCTCAATGCCCATATTTATTTTAATACTTTGTTTTCATGAAAAAAAAGAGAATAAAAAAACTAATTGTGGGGGGTGGCATACACAACAGAATTTAACTGTAAGGTTAACACAGTGCAGATTCGGAGTTAGAAGTAGCCAAACTAAAAGTGAGCCATAAAGTCTCACATATCCTCAAAGGAGAAGGAAATGAAAACAGATGAGTCATCTGAGTGAGAAGGAAAACTGACTTCTCCATTCATTCTCCAGAAGGTCAGACAACATTCAAGCTGTTTGGGTGTTGTTTCTTTCTGGCTGTTTTCAGTTGAATAGTTACTTTCTTTGACTTAAGTCCTAGAAAATATGGGGCAAGCTGTAAGCACATTTCAGAACTATAAATTTGATTTAAATATCAAACAGAAACATTTCAAATCACTCCTTTTACATTTTTACTTGAACAAATACATTTTTGTTTTCTTCTATACATATGTGGCCCTTTTACTGAGATAGCTTTTTCAAGAACATAAGCATTATGTAAACTACAGCTTCTGAAGGTATTTTATTTTAAAAATATGGCCAGTTTAATCTAGATACAAATTTGATTAGTATCTTATATAATAAAAGCCAATATGCTAAAGGTCTGGTCAATCCAGTCAACCATTCAACCAATTGAATCATATTATGCTAATGATATGCTGAGGCCACTCAACTGCTTGCTATGATGTGCACTGACCACTAAGAGGCAGACACTCCAACTGGTAGGTTAGCTTGCTGCTGGGGTCCAACCAATTGGGACTGAGTGACATGGGCTGGACACACCCTGGAGCCCTCCCACAGTCCCTCCTGGACTGGCCAACCTCCACATCACTCCCCGGTCCCAATTGTGCACTGGTGGGGTTTCTTGGCCTGGCCTGCACCCTCTCACAATCCAGGATCCCTCAGAGGATGTCAGAGAGCCAGTTTCAGCCCAATCCCACACGCCAGGCCTAGAGACCCCCCTGCTGCATGAATTCGTGCACCAGTCCTCTAGTGTGTGTGTGTGTGTGTGTGTGTGTGTGTGTGTGTGTGTGTGTGTTTAGAGAGAGATAGAGAAACATCGATGTGAGAGAAAAACATCAATTGGTTGCCTCCCACATGCACCCCTAATGGGGATCAGGCCTGTCACCTGGGCATGGGACCTGACTGCAAATGGAACCCAAGACCTTTTGGTGCATGGTCTGATGCTCGACCAACGGAACCACACCGGCCAGGACAGGGGGCGCTAATTCACAGTCTGTTAAATTGGTCTTTAGTCATTTCCAGTGGGAGTAAGAAAATGTTTAACATCTTTTATAATGCCTTTTCTTCCTCCTTTGTTACAGATTCAAGTGCTCATCGCCATAGGCATTAAAATCATAGTTTATTTAAAACAGAAGAGCATGGTTCATACTCAATGTTTTATATTCAATGTTATTAAAAGCAATGATTGCATTCAAAACAAAACGACACTTGTAGAAAAATAGATGTTAGTAATTTTTCCTGGGCAAGCGATCATTTACAATTTGAAATAAAATGTGGAATGTTACCACATACTTGATAGCTAAAAGAAGCTCTAATTTGACCATGTGTATCCTACTGGAAGTACCTAAAGTTGTCATTATAGATATTAATTGTTAATGTCAGAGTATACAAATCCTCATAATTACAATATTCACATTTATTCTGTTTTAAAGTCAAAATTACTTCATAAATTAGATATGTTTAAAAAGAAGCATTCTGGAACTTGGATTTCTGTTGTGATGGAGTAGGCATATTTTCTCTGTTCCTCCCAGTAAGAACAACTAAAAACTCTGGACAGCCTATATAATAAAAAGGCTAATATGTAAATCAACCTAACAGCAGAATGACCAGTCGCTATGACACACACTGACCCACTAGGGGACAGATGCTCAATGCAGGAGCTGCCCCGTAGGGGTCATTGTGCTCCCAGGGGGAGCGCTGCTTAACCAGAAGCCCTGAGCCAGGCTCATGGCTGGTGAGCCCATCTAAGGATGTCCGACTAACATTCCCTGCAGGCCTAAGCCATCAGTCAGACATCCCCTGAGGGCTCCCGGACTGTGAGAGGGTGCAGGCCGGGCTGAGGGACCCATTCCCCGCCCTCTTCCACCCCCGTGCACAAGTTTCGTGCATCAGGCCTCTAGTTATATATAAAATGAACATAAGATGATTCCAAAAGTGGAGAGCAAAAAACAAACCAAGTAAGAACCCCAGAACCTGAAGAACAATACAGTGGAAATTTTTTTTTTTTTTTGAGTTTTCTTTTTGTCTCATGTGTTCCTGACTTGGATTTGTAGAAACGGGCAACTCTAAAACACCAACAGGCACTGACTAAAAAAAAAAAAAAAAAAAAAAGTCTCATAAAAACTCTGCTCTCTATAGCAAAGAAAGAAAAGAGGCAGCCTGGCAAGAGAGAAAACTTTTAGAGAGTAATAACTCAAACCAAACACCGCAATCCAACCCCAATCCACACCAGCGAAGGCTAGCTAGACAAAGGTTTAAGGAGATGCTGTAAGGAGGTGCCCCGACACCCTCCCCATGGTGGTTTCACAGCAAATTGGAACTTCCAGCTACACGGGTCTGTAACAAGGCTGCTCACCGTCCCCTCACCTCAGGAGACCAGGCTGGGATCCTGTACTTCCACCCCAACCTGGCAGTCTCAAGGTGTCCCTCCCCCTTCCCCCCTGGAGCAGTGTCAGAGAAGACCTAGAGAGGAGTCAATCCAGCAGCAATGAGCGCGCCCCCCCCCCATTGTGGTGGGGGTGAGACCACGTGTAAGCAGAACTCTCCCATCAGTCATAAGGAGCAGGATGTTGGAGAGGCATCACTATGCTCATGGCCTTCTTCATAAGGCAGTTGTGAGGATTAAAGAAAATAACCCATAAGGAGTACCTAATTAAGCGCCTTTATAGTGAACACTGTATAAACAGTAACTATTACCACTGCTGACATCACCACGCCTTTACTTTTACCACCTTCTCAGTAGATTTGTCCAGAATACATTTACTGAAGCAAAAAGAAAAAAAAACGCTGACCATGAGAAACCTCGGACAGAGGTCCGACAGGCCTTTCCCATCCCCAGTGAGGACCTGCCATCTACACTGTACACTGTGGGGAAGCAAAGGCAGACTGGACACAGAAATAAGGAAAATGGATAGAGACTGCAGGAGGGGAGATGAAAGTCAAGATCAGAGGCATTATTGGCGACCTGTCTCCCGGTGAAAGCTTCTTGGGAGGTAGGGCCATGTCTCCATCACTTTGAGAGCCACACAGCGAGCAGCCTGCAGTTTTGCTGAACTGAAAATGAAGAGACGCAGGGAGGGAGAATTTTAATTGAGGGATGCCTCCTTATGTTCACAGAAAAGACTTCTCTCGACTTATTCTACGCTGTTTGTGCCGGTGTAGCAACAAGGACTGTGGAGTATATTTATTCTACAAGTATTTGGAGACCTGCCATGGGGAAGATACTAAGCACAGACAGGATGGCAGAAGAGAGATACAAAAAGAATCCAAGTCATGGATCTGGCCCTGGGGGAGGTAGGCGGGAGGTTGGGAGGTCAGGAGGAACAATATGGCTCTCAGGTACTTAGCACACGTTCACAGTGAGTGATAGAAAAAAAATGCAATCGACTCACAAACAAAATGCCATTGCTGGTATGTTTCCAATCTGGTGGAACTAGAAGTCGGATTGATTTCAAAAGGCATTTCTGAGGCTACAGGAAAGGCACACGGGCTTACTCCAGGTCTCACCTAGTTCTTAGATATTTCTCTAAGTTCAATTAATCAACATAAAAATTGTACTTAAGTTTTTTTTTTGTGTGTGTGTGTGTGTGTGTGTGTCTGTGTTTTATTATTTGTTTGTTTTTAAAACATCAATGAGAGAAAAAAAACATTTCTTGGTTGCCTTCTATATGTGACCCGACTGGGCATCGAACCCCCAACCCACCCAGGCATGTGCCCTGACCAGGAATCAAACCCACAACCAACTGCGCCACCCTGGCCAGGGCTGTGCTGAAGTTTTGCTCAAACGTGTGCACAGCCACACTACACGGAATGCGCCCAGTCTCATCTGACCTCAGAAGTGTTGCTGACCAGACTACCAGAAGCTTCTGGCTGTTACGGCTTCCAGATGTCAGTCACCTAGAGAGTAAGATGCCACATTGCACGCCGGAAGGAGGAGCCGAGGCTCCATCCTTATCCCAGGCCTGAGTGCCTTTCGGAGGCAGAGCCTCCTGGGTGTGGGCAGGATGTGCAGGCTTCAACGTCTTAGGCCCACAGCCTTGGTTCCAGTGCATCAGTAAACACACACTGACTCTCAAAAACGTCTTCACAAAATAACCTAAAAACGTGTCCTCACAGAGCACAGAAGCTGGCCTGATTGCATAAGCAGGAAAGTGACAGGGAGTATAAATTATTCTCATTTAAGAAATTTCAGCCAGTTTGCACCTGATGTCAATGGTTTCATGAAGAAGAGGCAGCAATATGCCTTCAGGAACCTTCATTACCCACATAAGTCTGTCCCAATTTTGTCACAATAATATCTGGCCAATATATTTTTATTGCTTCGTGGGCTGACACTCAGCCACTGAGCCACACCAGCGGGGCTTACCATTTGTTTTTTTTAAGTGTCTTTAAATTCCATGCTTTCTCACATCCTGTGAGATAAATGGCATGATTGTCCCTAATTTAGAGTGGAGGAAATGGAGACTCGAAGAAGTGGAATGAACTATCTAAAGTCACACTGCTGTTAAAAGGTTTAAAGAATAACTCAGAGAAAGAACAAAAACTAAACAGAAAGGAAAGAAAGGAGATGGTTTCTAGTTTCAAAACCAATTGAAGCTCAAGGCAGGCAATTAAATGGAATGTAAGCATGTCAGGTGAAAACACTCTTGTGTTTCTTCCCAATGAAGGGAGGACCCAGCTTCTCCTCCTCGGTGCACAGCAGAGGTCAAGTTTAATGCCAGGGAGGGTGCAGGCTAGCAGAAGAAGAATTTGAAATCAGCGTTCTGGGTCCCATGACCTCCTGGTTCATGAGTCAATGCTCAACCACTGAGCCACGCCGGCCGGGCAAAGACAGCATCTTTGCCAACAAAAACCACAGAGATTTTTTTTTTTGTCTATGCTATCTATTTTGTGATGTGATCCAATGTCTCATGACTATTAAAGAATTATTCTACCCAAGCTAATTCTGCTTGGATGAGTTCTCTTTATTTTTTTCTACCAATCTGTTAACATTTTGCAAAAAATACATATTAGCTGGGAATGAAGAAGAAACCGAAGATCAGAAAAGGTGTCGGTGCAAATCACTTTAACTTTCAGACTTTGTTTGCAGAGCTAAAGATGCAACACATATCACAAACGGTCATTTCGTACAATTCCTAAGCTGTAAATATAAATGGGAGTCAGTTTAAAGCAATGGGTCTCTCCACCGGGGTGATTTTTGCCTACAAGGGAACATTTGGCAATATCTAGAGACTCTTCCGGTGTCACAAGGGAACAGGGAAGGGGACGCTACTGGAATCTAGTGGAAAGGATGCTGCTCATTAACCCACGAGTACAAGATAACCCCACAGCAGAGGATTGTAAGGCCCCAAATGTCCACAGTGCCACAGTGGAGAAGCCTTGGTTTACGTTATAGAAAAGAATGTTGCATGTCCCGGTTGTTTTCCTGAAATCTGAAAGTAAAGGAAATATTCTGTCCACAGTTCCTTAGTGATACTTTGTTGTTGTACTAATCAGTATCTTCCCATTTCCTTAGAAAAAGTAATTTAGAACACTAAGCAAAATCAATTGCTAGAGTTCACTCGCCCATTTTAAGGGGAAACAGTATTTTTAAGCATATTATTCAAATAACAGAAGAGACAGAAATGCAGGAAATACATTACAGATTGCCAGAGTTCTGTGTCACCAGATTCGTAGGGTGTTTTTCCCCACTCAGTCCTATTACTACTGTTGGTGAACATTTACAAGTTTAAGCAAACCCTACTCTTAAGCATACATTGCTAATCTTATTAGCAAATATATAACACACATATTGTTTGGTGTTTTTTGTGTGTGTGTGTTTTTTTTTAAAGAACAAGCTTCAGGGAATATCCTGGTCGCGTTAGGCAAGACCCAGTATTCAGCAGACACCAAGTCCTTTAATTTATGTGGTTTCATATTTAAAAAACAATTGCACTTTTAGAATAATTGGAGTTTACATTGGTCATCTGGAAGCCAATAACCTAGTATTGAGTTTATGTATTATCAATAATAAATCAATGCCTCATTTTCTCCCGTGAAAGAATTTAAGGGGGGGCGGAGGAGGACTTGGGGTTTCATTTGATGGTCAAGATGCGCCCCCTACCGAACAGAAGGGAGAAGTAGCGTTGGTTCTGTTTAACTTCACAGGACTCTGACTGCTTTTCTACACGCGCGTTTCTTTCTAGCACGTTTCTCTCTCCCCATGCACACCTGCACATGCCTCCCCCGCTCACCTGAAGGGCTGAGCGTGAACTCTGGTTTTGTTCGGCACAAAAAGCATGTGCGGGTGAGACGTGCGCTGCACATCTGAGAGGCTCCCTGTTCTAAAGGCACCCCGGAAAAATCCCCAAACGGCATGTGCAGTCCGGAATGACAACCGCCACTTCTCAACATTAACGCCCAGTGTTCTCCTGTCTCCTCTCTCCGCTGGGATGGCCCGTGATCCTATCTCCTGGGGGGCAGTCATCTCAGCCAGCGGTCACAGCCAGCAGAGAAGTTTAAGTTCCCAAAAGTGACGGCAAGTGGCCAGCAGACAAATAATAATAATAACAACAATAATAATATGGATTCATTCAATGGGGACGGAGGGGACGAGGCGTAAGAAAAGTTCCTTCGCCCCCCGCCTCGCCCTCCAGACCCAGAACCCCATTATCCTTGCACCCCGCTCTTTGGCAGGTGCCAGGATGCTGCAGGCTGGCTGCGCCCGCCCGGGACATCACTCCCCACAGCATGCAGCTCCGCAGCTCGCCCAAATGCATGTGCCTGTGCATGTGCGTGTGCATGTGCGTGTGCATGAGTGGGCATATGTGTGCATGTGCGTGAGTGTGCATGCGTGTGCATGTGTGCGTGTGCATGTGCGTGAGTGTGCATGTGTGTGCATGTGCATGTGTGCATGTGCGTGAGTGTGCATGTGTGTGCGTGTGCATGTGTGCGTGTGCATGTGCATGGGGGGGGTCAGCGTGAGCCCCGGGCCTTGCTCGGGGTCCCCCAGTCCGGCCGAGCCCCGCGAAGCAGGTGTGCGGGCCGGGCTCTCACCTGGGCTCCGGCGAGGAGGCCGCCGAGCAGCAGGCACCCCAAGAGGCGGCGCATCCCGGCGGCCAGCCGGCGGCCGCTCTGCCGAGCGGGGTCCGCGCCGCAACTTGCCGGCGTGGGTCCCACTCTGGCCGGAGCGCGGCGCGGCGGGCGGCCCCGGGGCCACTGCCGGGCGCCCGGGTCCGGTCCGGGTCCGGGTCCGGTCCGGGTGCGGGTGCGGGTCCGGGTGCGGATCCGGGTCCGGTCCGGGTGCGGGTCCGGGTCCGGTCTGGGTGCGGGTCCGGGTGGGGTCCGGTCCGGGTGCTGGTGCGGGTCCGGTCCGGGTGCGGGTGCGGGTCCGGGTGCGAGTGCGGGTCCGGGTGGGGTCCGGTCCGGGTGGGGTCCGGTCCGGGTCCGGGTGCGGGTCCGGTCCGGGTGCGGGTCCGGTCCGGTGCGGTCCTGCGGCTCGCGGCTCGGTGGGGTCCGGTCCGGGTGCGGGTCCGGGTGGGGTCCGGTCCGGGTGCGGGTGGGGTCCGGTCCGGGCGCGGGTGGGGTCCGGTCCGGGTCCGGTCGGGTCCGGTCCGGTGCGGTCCTGCGGCTCGCGGCTCGGTGGGGTCCGGTCCGGGTGCGGGTCCGGGTGGGGTCCGGTCCGGGTGCGGGTGGGGTCCGGTCCGGGTCCGGTCGGGTCCGGTCCGGTGCGGTCCTGCGGCTCGCGGCGGCTCGGTGGGGTCCTCGGGAGAGCGGACGCCCCCGCCCCCGCGCCCGCGCGGCGCAGCCCGGCCGGCAGCCGAGGGCGAGGGGCGCAGCGCAGGCCCGCCGCTCCGCCCGGCCCGGCCTCCGGGGGGCGCCCTGGGGAGCGGCCAGGCTCCCCTCCGGACCGCCGGCCGCGGGGCCGGTTCCAGGTCCCGCCGCCGGGCTCTACCGCCGCCGCCTCCGCCTGCTTTTCTCCTGACGGATAATGCGGGGGGGGAGGGGGGGTGTGAGTGTGTGTGTGAGTGTGTGTGTGTGTGAGTGTGTGTGTGTGTGAGTGTGAGTGTGTGTGTGAGTGTGTGTGTGTGAGTGTGTGTGAGTGTGTGTTTGAGTGTGTGAGTGTGTGTGTGAGTGTGTGTGTGTGTGTGAGTGTGTGAGTGTGTGTGTGAGTGTGTGTGTGTGTGAGTGTGTGTGTGTGTGAGTGTGAGTGTGTGTGTGTGAGTGTGTGTGAGTGTGTGTGTGAGTGTGTGTGTGTGAGTGTGAGTGTGTGTGAGTGTGTGTGAGTGTGTGAGTGTGTGTGTGTGTGTGAGTGTGTGTGTGTGTGAGTGTGTGTGAGTGTGTGAGTGTGTGTGTGAGTGTGTGTGTGTGAGTGTGTGTGTGTGTGAGTGTGTGTGAGTGTGTGAGTGTGTGTGTGTGTGTGTGTGTGAGTGTGTGAGTGTGAGTGTGTGTGTGTGAGTGTGTGAGTGTGTGTGTGAGTGTGTGTGTGAGTGTGTGAGTGTGTGAGTGTGAGTGTGTGTGAGTGTGTGAGTGTGTGTGTGAGTGTGTGTGTGTGAGTGTGTGTATGTGTGTGTGAGTGTGTGTGAGTGTGTGTGAGTGTGTGTGTGTGTGTGTGTGAGAGTGTGTGTATGTGTGTGTGAGTGTGTGTGTGTGAGTGTGAGTGTGTGTGTGTGAGTGTATGTGTGTGTGTGTGAGTGTGTGTGTGAGTGTGTGTGTGTGTGTGTGAGGGAAAGAGAGAGAGAGAGAGAGAAGAGGTGAGAGAGAGAGAGAGAGAGAGAGAGAGAGAGAGAGAGAGAGAGAGAGAGGAGAGAGAGAGAGAGAGAGAGAGAGAGAGAGAGAGAGAGAGAGAGAGAGAGAGTCCAATACTCTAAGTTTCCCTGTGTACACACCTTCGCTTGGGGCCATGTCTGTTCCTCTTTTTCTGGGCGGCATAAGCACCGGGGGCCGGGGCCTGCTTTAGGGACGTGGGGGGGAGGAATGGGTCTCCCGGGACTGACAGCTGGGAAGGAATGACCCCACAGTGGAGCGCAGCGGTGCCCTCATCTCCCCTGACAGTGCGGGTCTGAGACCTGTCCCTGCGGCTTCCTTTGGTGAGTCAGAGTGCAGGCAGGGTTTGCTTTTAAAACGTCTGTATTATCGATGGCTGGCTAGCTTTAAGGCACTAGCAAGGGGTGGCTTTTGCTTCTATTTCTACGTGTCTGAAAATGCCCGTGCCTATCTCTGTTTGAACATCATTCTTTGCATTATGTCCTATGCTTTTTGAAAGTAGCAAGATCTAAATTATACAGCATGCACTCACAGGCGCACACCTGCAAAATTAGTAAGTTCACTTCCCACTTATTCTACCAAAGATTTAAGGTTTTGTGGTGTGTGTGTGTGCGTGTGTGTGTGTGAGAGAGAGAGAGAGAGAGAGAGAGAGAGAGAGAGAGAGAGAGAGCACTCTTCTTCCAAATAGAGCTCTCTTTATGTCCTCTCCCAGCCAGCCAAGGCCAATCCTGAAGACTGGCTTCCTTGGAAGTGTTCAGGGTTCGAGCCACCCAGGCCTGCTGAGTTGACCCTTTCCTGCACACATGCTAATGACCAGACTTTCGGTAAACTCGCTTATGGTATTTAGGAGGGTTGGAAAGATAATGAAGAGTCCATATCCTGTAAAATGTTGTTATGAGGATGTATCTTGACTATTGTACCTGGTCCATTGTAAATAAGCAGAACTTTCAGATTTATGGGTTATGGTTTGCTACAAAATGGGGGCTGGTCGTGCAAACAGTCCATCAGTGGGGTATGAGGAAGCATTGTTCCAGAACCAAAATTACGCCCTCAGTCTGAACAATGTGCCTGCAGGCATTGCTCAGAAAGAAGCTTGTCTATTGAACCTAAAACCAAAGCTCATCCTGCTGCATGAGAATAGGGCCACGTTAGGAAGCTGCTCAGGTCTCTTTTCTCCCTCAAGAAAAGATGGCTTGAGAGCAGCCAGTATTGGCTCAGAGGTTGAGCGTCGACTCAGAAACCAAGAGGCCACCAGTTCAATTCCTGGTCAGGGCACGTGCCCAACTTGTGGGCTCCATCCCGAGAGGGGAGGGCAGGGAGCAGCCAATCGATGATGTTTCTCTCTCATCAATGTTTCTATCTCTATCCCTCTCTCTTCCTCTCTTTCTAAAACAAGAGAAAAAAATCAATAAAGACATATCTAAAAAGAAAAGATGGTTTTATCTGTGCCTTTGAATCATCAGTCAAATTTAGTGCTGGTCAAGAGCTAGAATTCAAGAGAGTTCAATTTGTTAATTAAAAGGACACAGGTCCATCAGACAACTCTACTTTGCCTTCAGACTCACTCAAATTGTTCTAGGCATGTATCAAATGGTCCAAAATCAAAAATAGCAATAAACTAATTAGTAATATAACAATTTTGGGGAAGAGAGGAGTCCCTTTAAATATTTTTAACGGGACAGTCTGATTACATTTTCCAACCATATCCATGCACTCCATTTATAAACTCTAAAATGACTCTCTAAATAATGTTAGAATGTCCCTAAGGAATTTTTTCATAATGAACACAATTGTGTGATTGTCTTTCTTCTCCCCTTTTACAGATTCTCATCTAAGAACACCCATTTAACTCATTCAGTGAAGCATAGTGGTAATTGGAAATGGGTGGGGCACTGATCACGGCTTCCACAAACAATAAACACATCCAACCAGCAATTACTATAAACCCACAGTGAGCCTGTTGGTCTAACTTTTGCACAAGACCTGTGTTTGACTGATAAAGACATTCTGGCATCAGAACCTTAAAGAGAAAACCAAGGAGGGCTAAGTGCCACTCTATATTGAAAATTAAGAGACATCACTGTTTTATTTAGGATATGAAAATGTATCTGTTCTAGGACTTAGAATACTTCATTCTGAGAGAAAAAGAAACTATTTTTTCCCTAAATGTCTAGTGTAGTAGATACAGATTTTTTCTTGAGAAATATTAAGAATCAAAAAGCCCAAAAAGTAATTTTTTATTGTTTGATTTTATTTTTAGGCTGATGAATCACATGCGTTATTATTAATTATATAATAAATTTTTGCTTTCAATAAATATTTTCTGCTATGTGGTATTTGGAGAACAAATATAGAAGTACCCTCTCAAAGGCAGAGCTAAAAACAATTTGTTCGTCTTTTAGACAATTATTTATCGAACACTTACTATGTGCCAGATGTCTTTCTAGGTTGTAGCAATATTGTAGTAAATATAAATCTCCCTTCAAGGATCTTAATATTTTTCTCATTGCTGGTTTGCAATGAAATACCCATGTCTGGCACACTATATTAGAGGGAGTGCAAGAGTCAGGACTTCTCCTGGGTCACATACAGCTTAGACTTGAAGGGAAGGTGCTAATCCAGAGTCCACACAATGACAAAATCCTGCAAGCTAACATGAACTAAATTCCTTTAATAGGTTAGAAATTAAAAGATGCATTTAATTGTCAGTCCTCCAGTGCTTCTGATCTATTTTGGCATTTATAAGAGCTAATAAACTTCCCAGGTTTCTGCGTATTTACCTGACAGTAATCTATAATTGACTGAATTAATTAAGTAAAACAATTGTCAAGTGCTAAAAATAATAAGAAAAACTTTAATGAAACAGTGCATAATGCTGTAGAGCTGTGCCAAGGAGTGCAGGCAATCAATTTGAAGATTTTCCCCCTGATAAAGTATGTATGTGCGTGTGTACTCAAACACATTTGTGGTTAATGTATTATTCTGTAAAGTGTGGCATATACCTAATGTTCAAAGTAATGGAAAATAAATTATTAAAAATTTAGTATTTTCCAATACCTTGAATGTATAATACTATTTAATGCTTAAATTCAGAGATAATGACAGCATCTTCACATTCTAAACACCCTATGATTATTAATCAGAGTATCTTAATTGTTTAAAGGGGGGAAAGATGTTATGCTAAAGTTACTTGAAATTCAACATATTCATGCAATCTATAATAATAAAATTATTATTAGACCAGACAGCTGAACAACCTTCTGGACATTCTTCCTGATGAAGCTGCTGCAGCAGGGGCTGAGGCAGAGGCGGTTAGGGGCATCAGCCAGGCAGGCAGAGTGGTT